TTACACGGAGACAACGTTTCCTTCAAGTGAGAAAATATTTATTTTCTCTAATCTGTTGCTTTTCATGAAAGCGAACTGTTTGTTCTATTTAGATAGAAGAATCTGGATTTAGATAAATGTGTTATTTACTGTCCATTGAAATATTTCTATTCCTTAGATATTTTTTCTCTCGGTAAAAAAAATACCGTCACTCTTTCGTTACTTCCTCGCTTCGTCGGTAGTTTTCCATTGTAACGTGATTTCCAAATGTGATTTGGAAGAAATGAAAAATAGAAATGAAAAATAGGACATTAATCTCAAAAAATAGGGAGTAAAAAGTGTCATATTCAGTTGTGAATATCTCAGTTCCCGAATGGTCAATCTATTTATAATTGCGTCAACAATCAGGTCATGTTTAAATCTATATATAGTGTAAGTTTCAACGAATTCGTAAGAAAAAACTCACGTTGTGCTACGACTACCTTAAAGCAGCTCATAGACACTTCGGATGACATCTACCGCGCGCTGGGTCAAATGTAGCTCGACGGGTCAAGCAGCGTTCAATCGGGAAACGCGCAACCTCGTCGAGACTTTGCGACTGCAAGTGAAATAATACACGTATAGAAAAATCATCCCATCGCTCTCCCCGATGCAATGAAACGGGCAAACAAATTGCTAGTCAACATTTCCGCAAAATATCGCAACTCCCGCGAGACTCTTCAATCCCAAGTCCATCGTTCCGCGGGTATAAATAAGTAATGTTACTATCGGTCGAGAATCTTATTGCGAGTGGATAAATTTTGATAAGCGGCGCGCCTTATCGCGCAATAATCCGCGGTCGATAAGCGCGCGTTTGCGATTTCCGCGCGCTGAAGAAGCGCCTCGAGCCTTCCCGCCGTTAGATTACCGATCGAGTCGCGCGAAACTCGGAAAAATAACGGGGCGGTAGATTCGCGCGAGTTTGCGTATATCAACTTTGCACGAAGGGGATGGCGATGCCCGCATGGTGTACCGACCTCACGAGCGCGCATCCGCGGTAATCAGCCGACGGGTCGGCGTTCTCGCCGACTCACTCACGCGCGTTCTCCGCTCGCGAGCGTGTGATCGGGGGTTGATTCCCCGTAATCGCTCGTTACACCGACGAAAGGTTAATTAAGCCGAAGTTCCGAACACCGGAGCCGCAGCGAACTCCGGGGTAGATCGGTCGGTTTGATAGCTTGACATACGGTTAATTAATCATGCGCTAATTAACTCCGGAGTGATTAACTGCCCCTCCCGCCGCGCCCCCCCCCAACGGGACCTTTCTTGCTCTTCTTTTTCTCGCTTTTCTTTCCCCCTGCACGCGCGAATTTCGCGACCGAAAGAGGAAGAGAGAGAGAAAGAGATAGAATCGGGTTTATCATGCACATCGTTTTCTGTATCGTTCCTTTCATAAATCACCTCGCGTAGGATCGCCCACGCAACGAAGGTGAACGCTCGAACGTTGGCTAGCACGCGCGAGGAACAGATACGTCGAGGTAGCGCGCCGGTAATGCAAACGCGACCGTCGTCGTCGGCGGCGATAAAAACTTGCTTAACGGAAATAAAACCCCGACGATAATTGGCCGGGTAAATTTTTTGCCGCGCGCGCGCGCAACCAAACATAAATTTCCCGCTCGACTGTATCATAATTTCATAACCCCATACTAACCGGCGTAATCCCAAAGGGAGGAAGGATTTCGCGGGATTTTCTCGCGAGAGAGAGAGAGAGAGAGACTCAACCGATAAAAATATTCCGGAGAAATTTAACTAAACAGTTTACTTTAATCTCGTTAAATGAAATACGCCGCAGCCGGGGAAATAAAATCGTGACGCGGGGCATTTAGCGTGCCTCGCGCACGGCAGAATTTGCCGGCCGATAACATTAGTCCTGAGTGCGCTACGGGCGTTATTAAATTTACACCGTATATAATTTTTATGTTTCTCGGAAAACGATCAACTCTCGCGTACAGCGGCGACGTGCGTGAGCGCGCGCGCGCGCGCGCGGATGAAAGATTTTCCGCTCGGCCGTGTTATACGCGCGGCGTAAAAAGCGCATAAATTATCCTAACGATGCACGGGCGCGTGAATGTAAATTATTTAAGGACCTAATGAAAGCACCGAGCGGAGGGATTAAACTTTCCACATTGTCATTCGGTGAATGCAATTTCCGTTTACGGAAGCGGCATCAGCCTCCACCGGTATAAGAGCGATGTAAATGGCCCCGGGGCCGCGGATCGATATGCGCAAATATTAGTAAATCAGACGCTTAAACAGTCTGATTTGTTGTCCCATAATTTAAGGTCATTACCAGGCGCATAATTGTGAAACACTGTGGGCTCAAAGCGATTAAATTAAGGTTAACGAAATGAAGCTCGCGCGCGCCGCCCCGTGCGATTTAATCCCTTGATCATCTCGCGGACTCTCCGAGATGAATTAGAACGCTTAATCTAACGAAGCCGCGCGAATCCGGACGGAATTGTCGATGGGAAAAATGGGATCAGCGGGGCGGCGAAGTTTCGAGTATTCCGCCAGTCGTCGATAACTTCAGGCGGCAGGAGAGAAAAAAAATACGAGATTGGCATTTCGATATCGACGAGAGAATGAAATACGGTGGGGAGAAAAATCGCGCACGAGTTTCCCGAGTGAACGGGGGGAGGGGGGAACAGCATTTATATAATGAAGCGAAAATTAACTCCGCCGCCGATCGGGGAAACGAACATTGCCCGTTAACTTTTCGCAGCAATCGTGCTTTAAACGTGAGACGCGAACGCTCCCGACATTTTGATGCGAACGACGCTCGAAACGTTTGGTGCGAGATACAAAAGTTGTCGGGCTGCTAACTTGGGCAATTAAATCTCTCGCGCTCTCGGGCGCGCCATAAGAAATTATCTCGCGGTCGGACGGCCATAAAGAGCAGACTCTACTTAGCGCGCTCGCAGTCGCCGGACAACATTCGCCACCGGCGAAACTGCGTGTTTTAATACCGCGGGTTCTTTACGAGTAGATAATCCCCAGTGGCGGAAAGATTATACGGTGTAATAATCGCTTTAATAATTCGTACACGACTGCCCGGTTCGCACGCTTCGTACAAATCGTCGCGCGCGCGAAACGAAATTGATTAATTTCATATCGGTAATCGCGCGAAAGCAGCTCCCCGGGCCGGCCCGGCCGCTCGCACGCTCCGCGTAACGCGCTATTTATTTCGCGGGAGCGATTGTTTATCTGCAAAAGTAAATGGCTTCATACGGCCGCTAGCGAGCGAGCGAACGCGCGATAATATTTCGCATAATAAATAGACGTTCGCGAAAACATTTTGAAGGAGCTTCCACGGAAGACTGCACGTGAATTATTTATCAGATCTTCCGCAGCGCGAAACTTCGCGACGCGCGCTGCAATATTCACTGATGCGACTATTTCGTTTCGACGACCAATAAAAACTTTACGTGCCGTTATCGCTTTAGCGTGAGCAATATTTGAGCCCTGAGTGACATTTTATCAATATCTGTTGTATTAAACCCTTTGCCGATCGATACGAACATTTATTCGCCGTCCGTTTTCTTCCCCTTCTCTTTTTCGGCTTCCCTCTTTTTCCTTCCTTCCGCTTGTTTTCCCGCCCCGCGTTTTCCACATTCCACGTCGGGTCGCGTTCGGAGCTCGTTAAATCACGCGTAATTACGTATGCCATTTTTATTACCCGCTTTAACGGACGATACGTATGCATTTGTACTTACACACACACACGCACACACACATACGCACACACGCACGCACGCACACACGTACACACACGCGCGCGCGCGCGCCTACGCACATATATAAAAGCTCACGTCCGCACTCGCCGAACATTTTGCATGATTGATGTTCATCGATCTCGTCGTAGATGCTTTGCATCGTTTAACTGGATCTCTTTAAATAGAGGAAGGAAAGGCGCGTTTGTCCCGATTATTATCGATATTCGGGGCTGAAGAACACGCGATATTTAATATGCTGCGTACACGATCGATTACTCCACACGGATTTAGCCGGTTTCGAATAGATTGGCGTGCGCGCGCAGTCCCGCCGTTCGTATCTACGGATTTTGTAATATACACGTGAGTCAACGAGACCTGCAGTCGTGTCGGATTACAGCTCGCAAAACGTGAAATCCAATAATAAAAACGTACATCGCCCACGTCAGTTAAGCAACTCAGTTTAACGAGCTGCCTGAACTCTTTGACTACCATTCCAAATGTTTCGAATCTTTTTCTGCGCAGGGAACTTTGTCTGATACGAAAGATACACATAGAGGGAACATTCATTAAAAGTGCACGGACTTTCTGTCGGTGCCCGCCAATTTTTTCTATTTTCTCTTTTTTTTTTTTTTTTTCATCGATATGTAATCGTGTTTCTCCCGTCTTTTCAGTTTTTTCCTTTTTTTTTTTTGTTTAATCCACAGAGCTGATTCGAGCGGCGCTCGCGCAGCTTTTTCACAATTCCGCGATATTCAATTTTAAATACGTTCGCAGGCGCGAATGAAAATTCAGCTCGGGAGTAAGTTGAAATTAAATAAGTGATGCGCGCTCGCGCTCGCAAGTCGTTATTCATTTTTACGCGCGCGTAAAAACACCGTTATCGCCCACGGTGCGTCCCCGTTAAAATCAACTGCGAATCGATTAAAAAGCTGCTCGCCGCGTAAAAGTGCGCGCGCGGGGATTCCGGCGTGTATACGCGCGTGTTGCCGCGATCAAAGAGGCCAAAGAACACAATGAGCAACACTCGAAGCCAATAACGAGGAATCCCGGGCAATAATGAAACTCTGTAAACGCGGCCGGAGCGAAAGAGAGCGGGGGCGAATGACGGAGAGAGAAAGAAAGAAAAAAAAGGGGGGGGGGCGAGAGGGAACGCGCTATCTGGTGTCTCTCGCGTCACGGATCCGCGTTTGCTTAGATAAAACGGCGCACCTTTGACCTCGACCGTTAAAAAACGATACTTCGTCACCGAGAAGAGGAGCGATACTTCGCCGGGGAAATTCTCGCATTTACGTCTCGGCGTCGCTCAAAGAAAGCCACCAGTCGGCTGCGTCCCCCGTGAATAACGTTCGTTATTCGCCCTGGAAGTGAGTTTATTACATTGTGCGCGGCGTCTGCTACGACGAGTTTTTACAGCTAGCTGGCAGCCCGGCAGGATATAAAACGTCGTTGGCATACAAAGTGCAAAAACGCAAGCAGGTGGGGGAAAACCTTCCTCTCGCGCACCTCCGACACACGCTCCACCCACGCTTCCCTTATCTTCATTTATCTAACGCTCCTAACGGAAGTGTACTTTCACTATTCTCCCCGCGAAGAAATGGAGAATAACAGCTCTATCACATCGCTCGCTCCCTCGGCGAATCGATCTTCCCGCGGTGGGAACTTCCCATCCCGCGAAAGACATCCCTCTTTGATCGATCTCGCCGGCGATCTCGAGGCCCGATCTCAATTCAGGGTGAAGAATTTCGCGCGTTTTCCGAACGGAAATTCTGCCGTCGTGAGTCGTTCGATTCTCCCCGTTATTTTTAATCCTTCCTCTCGATGAATGTTTTTTTTCTCTCATAATTGCACTGTCATTTGAGGGTGTGTGAGAAAAATGATCCAACTATGGATTTATTATTTAAGGGCCGTCATCTCTCATATCGATTCTCTCTCTCTCTCTCTCTCGTAAAACGCTCTGTGTACACGCGAACTTGGGCGAGTCGATATCGCACCGTGCCATAATTGCCATTGCCGTAACACCTCGCGATTAAAGAAGTAAAACTGCTCGGCAAAGTGAGGAGTGAGTTTTTCGCGGCGGCGCTCATTGTGTCGAATTGGTTCCCGATATCGGGACTCGCCGGAGGCGAGGGTCAATTGATACGAGATATCTTACAAGATATAGAAAGTACTCTTGTATTTCGCAATGTTTATGAAGCGCGGTATATATCGTGCAGTTGAGTCAAGATTTACCAGCAATCATCGGTTATCTTTTCGCGAAATTCGATCGCGATGAATTTCTCAACGTCCACATCTCCGAACGCTTAATAAGACATCATTCATTTGATTTATCGACACTTAGTATTTTCCATGACGTCTGACGCGCTTAATGTACCACTTCGTTTCGTCAAGTGTTGTTGACAATACTTGCTATTTATCTGAGGCCTCCTCTCACAAACAAGATAAATGGGACGCGCTATTATTACAAGTTCTCGTATCTCACGATCGTCCCTCGATAGGAAATACCAATTAGTTAGCTCGGCGCGCTCAGTCGAAGAATAGTAAGAAGAAAAGGGAGAGAGAGAGAGAGAGAGAATCCGAAGAGAGAGGAGTAAGGATACAATTCCGCATAGCGACGTCGATTCCACGACGGAGATACGCGTAGGCGGCGGTAAAATCCGTTCACGAGACGGGACATTTACCGGGTGATATACCACAATAACGTTCGGTGTCGCGTTACAGTGTACATTTCACGCTGTTACATCGAATACATACTCTGTATTATATTACATATGCGGAATTCGCGGCGACGACGACGACGAGAACGCAATCGCGTGACTAGACGCAGACAGGGACGAGGAAGCGTTATTGAGCACGTGCACATAAATGTTTCTGAACAGGCTCGTATTTTACTTCATTCCGGCCGATAAGAACCTTCCCCCGCGTGATCCGAACAACTCATTTCTGACAACCCATTCATCGTTTTCCGCAGGCACGTAACCTAGCATTCCCCTTCTCCGACCGCGCTACTTTCGGACGCACCGTCGGTTGCGAGCGAGTAAAACACGAGGCTGCATTTTCCATCGCCCACTGTTATTCCACTTATCGCGGATGTAAGGGCACCTTACATCCCCGCCCGTGAGCATTAACAATATGTTCGGCTGTAGATCTGCGATCTCGGCTCTTAAAGCAAGCCGACAATGCCGCCACCGCGATCACTATGTTACATCACGTTGTAATTTTCCACATCCGAGACGTGATTTCGTTGCTATTTAAGAACGTCGAAATTTGACGCTCTTAAAAATAGTTTGCGTCTATTCGGGCGGCCTGTGTTCTAGTAAAATTATTTTGTTAATATTAACATTTTTTATTAACTACTGGCGCCTCCTGAATTTGAACGGATTATACAGATTTAATTTTAGTGCTGCCTTGAGTAATCTATTTTCACGTTAAAACGGCGAAAACGGAAATTTGAGATATCATCGAAGTCAATGTAGAAACAAACTATATTATTGGACTGGGAATTGAATCTAATTTGCTATCTTAGCTCTTACTGCGTTGTAGAATCAAAGGCATAAGATAGTTGGTTCGTGATAATATTGTTAGAAAGATGTTGGTTAATATAACATGTAGAAACTCGACAAATTTGTATTAACTGTTTATAAACATAACTTATGATATACAGTTTTGATATTATAGCAGGAGAATATCGATCCAACTTATATAATGTTTGAAAAGTGAAAAAAAAAGGTAGTTTTCCGTACTTTGATGTAATCTGTGTACTTTTGACTGGGACTGCCCATGTCAAACAAATTTTTTGTAAATATATCACATATAGCGATAGACGCATATGAATATGCGTGGAGAATTGATCGTAGCGTCAGATTTTTCCATATTTTTTCGTATTTTTCGCATTTTTACATACTGATTATAGTTCCCTTTAAAGTTATTTAACTATTGCATCTTTCGTTTTTTTTTCTATTTAAAAAGACGCCCAACCAAAAGACACCAAAGGAAATATAGTGCGCGCAATATTGCCAAATCTTTACAGATTAGCTGTCGTACTGTCATCGTTATCAAAAATTGTGTGCTTTACGTATCAATTTTTGGAAAATTAAACTGGTCAATGGTCTTGGAAATTTTTATAATATTTTTACAAATCCCTTTCATCGTCTTTTCGTTTTCCATTAAACCACAATTCCGTTGCTATTAATTAAAAACATGATGTCGAAAGCCGTTTTCGTACTTGTGCTACATGTAAAAAGTGCTAACTTCGACTTCAATTATTTCAACTTCGGTATGATTAATCTTCTTTTAATTCCACGTTCCATGCATTAATATATATAACATAGCATGCCGTTAATATTTGTAAGAATTCCTAAAGGAGATAAATTCACGAACCAACTATCTTAACATAAAGTCAACATTTCAACTTGGGCAGCATGAGTGTTTGCGCGCGTAGATGTATTAATGTGGCCGCGGTAATATGGAGAGTGTTCCGACGCTATCGTTCTTCTTCTCAATTAGCGGAAATTGAGAATTAAGCAACGGAGACGACGATGGGGTTTTAACGTCGCTGCCTGCGCGGGTGTTAACTCGACAACTCGGTTAGAAGTCGGCGGGGTAGTTCGGGGAGATCGCGTTTAAGGAATAATATAACAGGATATCGCGGGACGTCTCCTTCGCGAATTTCGACAACGTAAATTCCGTGAAGTTTCCGCCAAGGAAACGCCTCGCAATAACGCATCGACTGTGTTTTCGCTTGTTTAAGGAGGTTCAACTGCTCTTCTCCGCACAGATACAACAATGAGATTTTATTCTCCCGGCCGTGCTCTGAGCGCGCTCTTCTTGCTCGTCGCTTTGACGTGCGCCACGCAAGGCGCCAGCCTTCGAGCGAGGCGCTCCTTCCTCGAGGATATCGGAAACACATTGAGTAACATCGGGGAGACAATCAAGGATACCGCGAAGACCGGATTCGAGCGGATCGAATCTGTGTTCAAGACATCCACGGATCCCGAAACGGTGACCTTGGAACCGGTGGAGAACACCACGGATTATCGGCAAATCATAACTACCCCGATTAGATGTCCGCCTAATCATGTGGTGGTGAATAAACGATGCCGGGAAATGCTCACGCGATGATGAAGTCTGCGAGGTGTCGGAGGGGAAGACGATATCAACGTTTTCATTTGCGTCGAATGTCAGTCAATCAATACTGTCTCGTTAGATAATAATGTTCCGTAAGATTTAAATGTAATGATCCCCTCCGGAAAATTACAATTGTAGCCGGCAATTGGACATTTTAATGTGTACGGTAAGGATCATTTGGGATTACCTCTTGACACGTTGATGTAAAAATAATAATTCCAGTTTAATTGGTTTGTGCTCTTTCATGCTTTATTAATTAAAATGGACATATTGATCTTTCCTCTAACTGTACAGAACAAGGGAGATTATAACACAGGTAAAATGAAAGCAAATTTAACCATTTTTTACCTGTAAACCGTGAAAAATCCTATCCTCCTCGGATGACATTTTTCTCATACGATTTAATCTAATTCTAATGTAATTTGATTTAATGCTGCCATATTCAACGTAATAATATAAATTATTATTTATCTAGTTTCACGCGTAAAGAACATTTTGTACTTGTGTTATAATCGGCCCTTGTTAAAATTTTTGTGGTAAATTTTTAACATACCCGTGTATTGATTTAACATATCGTGGTTGTGTTATCTCAATATTTTGTATGTGTCGATATCCAACATGTGCTAGTGTGAAAATATTGTAATACATTTTAAACCTCGATGTTGATTAACGTTTTATTTTTGTGTATTATATAATATTTTTTTACTTGTACTTAATCTTTACAATATATTTGTGTTACTTTTCGATATATTCACTTTATGTTAAATTAACACAAAAATTTAAGAAATTTGAAATTATGACCTGTCTGGTAGACATGAAATGTGTTAAATTTAACACAAAACTTTTTACCGTGCACGAGTGATGACAAAATCCGGTTCTCTTTGGATATACACAA